ATTTATAAAATAACTTTTGAATCTTTTAAAAAAATTTCCTTTAAGAAAAAGAACTTTTATAAAGAAAATTATTGGAAAAAAGAACTCTTAGAATAAAGCATCGGAACAGAGAACTTTTGGAATAATAGGCGTTGGAGAAAAGAACTTTTAGGGAGAAAAATTTGGGAAAAGTATCTCTATACTATACTCATTACTGATATAGCCATTTTATAGACTTGGTTAAATTTTCGAAATATTCTGACGATTAGTCAATTATTTATAACAATATATAATATATTACGAAATTCCCTTTTTGTTTTTGTTTTAGAGAATACATTTATTTTGGTTTCACTTAGTTTCTAGAACAGTTTTGTACACTAAGTTTCATCATAAGTAATTCTTATGGTAGGTATAGTTAACAAATGTTGAAATTCTATGATTTTTTTGTTTAAATAAATGTTTGAAGTTCAGATTATTACAAAAATCGCAGAAATTATCAATATTTTCAATACTTATTATTTTTCAATTTATATGAGTCAAATTTATTTTAGTCCCATAAAAATGTATAAATTATATGAGATGTAACTCAAAACTTAAACACATTAATGTTGTAATTTGTTGAACGTTTTAAGTTCAAATTTGTGATTAAATTAGTTAAAGCACGAAAAATATTATGATTTATTTGTTAGTTACAAACTAATAATGTTTTGAATTTAAAAATATTTTATCGAACTCTGTTCAGAATCTTTTTTCGTTTGACATGATTTATCGTCGTGTTTGTACTGCAGTATACAATTATTATCCTACTCTCCGACTTCACATTGCACCTACAACGGTGGTCTATATTAGAGAAATGGCTACATTTTTTGTTATATAGGTACACGTATATTTGTCATCGTATCGTATTAAAGGTACAACAAAGACGGACGACCTTTGGCAAAAAAAAAAAAAATAAAACTAAAATGGACGTCACGTAATTTTATGAGAAATTGTTTTCAATATTGTCTCGAACTATTCGCGAGATAAATAATGAAAAATGTCCGTGGTTAAAATAATGTAATCAAATATAGAAATGGCGGTTAAAAATGCAGTTTGGTTAGCGAACTTGACAGGTCGTAAAATCAATATAAATCTATAAAAAATACATACATTTTAAAACACAATGTTAGACCCATTGCTGCGTAAATGCGCAATGTTAGTAAAATATTTAAATTCAACGATTTTTTTTTTTTTTATAGAAACAATATTTATCAAGCAATAGCGTTCAGATTTAGATAGAGAAATAACAGTAAGAGGTATGTACCGTGAATTTTATATTTTTGTATTGAAGAATTATTTTAAAACACGTTTTTTTTTTCTCAATAAAATCTGTTGGCCTGTATAATAGACTATTAGTAGAATCACTCGATGCAGACCTGAAGTAAAATAAAACCTAGTTGTTTTCAAAATATTATACCATTTTGTAATAAATTGGATTTTTATAATTATTAGGTAAGTATACCTAAATATACTAAATAGATTAAAATTACAATTAAATCTAAAAACATTGACAGTAATAATTTATTGCACAATATATTAAACATAAACGTATAAAAAATGTAAATTAAATGAATGTTTAATGAGGAATTTTTTTTTGGTGAGATTCAGCCCCTTCCCCCCCATAAAAAATTCCTGGCTACGTCACTATACAGCCGATTTGGGTAAATTAAGCGTATAAAAAGTTTTACCGTTTACCGCAGGTACAGTAAGTCTAATGAAATTCAAAAAATTTTCTAAAATATCTGACTACAAATGAGATGAAACATTGGTCTTATTTCTGTTGACTAATGCGATTACCTTGACTACAAAGGTACAAATAGGACAATAATTATTATTTCCTTACCAGTTTCGAGATTCACTCAGAATCATTTTTTGCTATAATTTATCGTAGCCTATATATTAAATAACCTAAATATATATTTTCTCAACTTTCTACCCACAACAGTGGCCTTCGAATATGCGTAAAAACCATCAAGTGCTGAAGTGCACTATAAAAAAATTTATCGTAAAACCGTTTTGCTGACGTTTTCAATTTTCATTAGTGAACAGTTCAATATAGGTAATATAATAATAATAAAAAAAAAGCATATTTTCAAACCGAGTTTAGACGAATATTTAAACTCGGAGATCATTATGCCGCTTACAACAATAAATGAAAAGAAAAAAAACTCGGAATACGCGGAAAATGTAAAGCGCATTTGTTACTTTTAGTAACACAATAATGACATTTTATACATATACGACCAAGATATGAGTTCACGTAAAATACCTTTTATATTGCCAAAGTTTTACTTCTCTAAAAAAAAAAGCTGAACTCGTGTGCCCCTTATGCAGATCGAATCGCGGAATAATATATGTAGTATGTTAAAATGTTTACCATCGACGTTTTTATCAAATTGTTTAAGATATGCGTACAAAATGTTAAAATGAATGTTTTTTTCGTACTTTTTGACATATTGTTTATTTTTTGTTTACTATATATTTACGTATAGGTCTTACATACATTAACCTAACAATCTAAAACCAAATTATATATGCAAAGTATAAATATTTAGAATAGTTAGGTCACGCGTGAAAAGTAAAATGGGAACGTCCTAAAAAGTGTTTGATAGAACGAACAAACGATTTACAGCCACTAAAGGGAAATCTGTAAGGACCAAATGGAAATACGCTGTAAAAAAAGGTATGGAAAATATAGAAGCGTAGCAATAAACTGGACTACGTTGAATAGGGAAAGAAAAGGTAGAAAAGTTTATTATTGGTAGAGTAGGTCTTTAATGAACCGTTGAGCCATTGAAGACTAAGAAGATAGGTATACGTAAAGGACATAAAATTATAAAAAAATATTTTATGAAAAATGGTTTTATGAAATATTTTTATTTTTAAAAGGTTGGATTTGAAATGGGGCTCGAACCTCTGCAAACATATAAACTTATTTAAAAAAAATAAAAAGGAAAAAAAAAGATACGGATACACTTCGCATGATGGGTGGGAAACTGTAGGTAAAAATTTGAGAAGGTAGGATATAAGGGGAAATTTAATATAACGATTAATCATTGTTAACGAGAAACGATTCTGAGCGAAGTTTGGTTATTAGCGTTTTGAAAGGTTGTAATATTTTCGATTTTCATAAAAATTTTAAATTAAAATTAATTTTTTTTTTTAACATAAAGTGCTACTTGTTAAATTTTCAAGCATTTAAATTGTTAGAGTACTTACCAAAAAAAATTACGTCAAAAACTCTTAAAATTAAAATGTTTTGTAAATAAGTAAAAAAAAAAAACTGGAATATTTGAAAATTGTATTACGACTAGGAAAGAGAAATACGATTTTTCTGTCTAAATTTCAAACCTCTAAAAATATTTTAAACTAAATAACAACAAGAACAAAATTTAAAATAATATATTTCATAGATCTCGTTTTTCCTACGTAATTTTTTTTTATAAAAACCGCTTGGAAATATTAAAAAATTACCTCTCTAAAGTAACAAATAGATAAAATTCCTTTTCAGAGAAGGTGATATACCTGATACATCGCAGTAAGATTTCTGGTAGAAAATTTGTTTACATATTAAAAAATAGTAATAATAAAAACAAATATCATTGTGAAACCAATACATTCTTTGTTTCGTTCAGAATCTGAAAATATAATATAGTCATACAGTTATTTAATTCCTTTTTGAAAATAAAACCTTTCTGCATTTTTCACTAGACAAATACATCTAATTTAAATTTTTAAATTTATATGGTTTGTCACTAGACTGACTACAGGGGGAAAAAAAGAATCGCAAACAAAATTAAAATAAAAGCGGTAGATATATTTAAAACTATATCTACATTATTATTAGGTATACCATTGCTACACATAAATATTCATTTCCGAGATTATCGAAAACCTAACAAATCTTACTCTGCTTTTAACATTCCTCTTCAGTCCATGTCGTGTCGTGTTAATACTTATTATAAGGGCTCGAGACTTATACAACTTAAAATCTACAAAAAATTTCGCTTAAAAACATCAAAAAAGTTCAGAAAAAGCACTTGAAGTAAAAAGATAGAAGGGTTTAAAAGTATCCCGTCTTATAACGGCTCTAACTTATTAAACAAAATTATTTAACACTACAAAAATGATTAAGACAAAGTAATTTTTTTAAGATAAAATAGTACGTTTTCATTAAAAAAAAAAAAAAAGAAGGTCTCTTAGACTCCTCTATCATTTTTACTTTTTAAATATTTTGAAATGCTTTTATGCATGTGTAATTGATGTGGATTTTTTCCCTAAACTTGGCCATTCTAAATTATTCATATGAAAATTATGAAATTTGGTTTTTTTTTTTTTATATTTTAAAATCTCTAAATTAAAAAAAAAAAAAAACAAGATATGTAGGACTACCTCTTTTAGTTATAAGAAGTATCCTGTGAGATACATTGCCATAATCTCATAATATATAATGTTTATCTGGTGGAATATATTCCAATAAACTTGTATTATAAGAATTGTATCTAGTCAGATACAACACCGGTTATAAAAACTTATATACAATTTTAGTATTTCGTTATTTTCGACTTTTGGTTCTTGTTAAAATTTATTGGTTAAACACTACCGTAGAGAGCTGAAATTATCATAGAATATATTAGCCTTTTCTAGAATAAGTTGTAATGTTTTAGCTATTTATTTGCAATTCATATTTGCGAGGTTTTTCACGTACCTAGTTTTTATTTGGTAGATAGTCTGTGGATAAAATAGTTTAATTTATTACTGTGTTCTTTTCTTCTTCTTCTCCGTCTATTTATCAAAATATTAATGAACAACTACTTCTCGTCTACTCCACATACCCACTCTCATTTCTTAATAAATTCACTAGCTACTATTTATCTTTGATCTATTTCTTCTACGGTTACTCAATTTATCCTAGCGACTTCTTATTATCAATTGATTATTTTATAAAATGTTTAAATATTGTCGAAACGCTCGTGGTTTTCGTCAACGACCATACCACGTTGAATACACCAGTTCTCGTACGATCACTGAAGTTAGGCAACGTTGGGCGTAATTAGTACTTGGATGGGTGACCGCTGGGAACACTACGTGCCGTTGGATTTTTTTTTTTTTTTAACAATTCGAAAAAAAATATAATGACCAAAAGTTATAGAAAAAAAATATTTTAATTTCATTGTCTGTATTAGAAAAAAAAAACATTTTAATATTCTACAGAATGTAACAATTGTAACAATGCAAAAATTCACTTTTGCTCTGTTTAATATTTTTAAGGTTTTTCTTGTAATGATTTCTAGTCTTACGCTTTGATTCCTCCATTTTATATTTTTTAAAATTAAAAATAAAATATCGTTTTACAATTCCAAGATGCCAATTTTATAAATTTATTTTGAAACAAAATGTTGGCATTATAAATATTTACTAAAATTAAATTTGTTAAGTTTACCTATATAAAATTTTTAAAGTTTACAAAAATCATTAACAGAATGATTTTTCATGAAAAAAATTGTTAAACCGATTAATATTATTTTAAGTAGTGACAATGAAAACAATAAAAATTATTGTTAATTTCAACAATTATAGAAAATTAACAATTTACCAATAAAAAATATTTGGAACATCAAAATTCTGTTTTAAAATATATTTATAAAATTACTATCTTGGATTTTTTAAGTACAATTTTTATTTTTACTTTGTTAAAAAATATTATTATTATTTATACCTAGTAACACAAGTTATTTTAGGTGTCAGATCTTCGTGTTATAGGCTGTATATTTCAATATTCGGAATCGTGGAAATCGAGGAAAAATGATTGTAAAGAAACGTGATCAATTATTTATTGTCCACCATGCTGATGATTTGTTTCCACTGTTTATTAAAAAAAAAAATACTGTGACGAAAGATCACGCACTAAACAACATCAAATATTTAACTGTAAGATATTGCCTTATCTTCTTGTATTTTCTACAATATTATCTGCGTGTAAAAGGATTTTCGAGTTCGGTTGAACGCGTAAGAGACAGTATTATGTTGCGTGGTCAGCGTGTACAGTTCCGTGCAACAATATCCATCCCAGAGTTATTTTAAACCTTGTCAAAGGGAATTCAAGCTCACAAATCACATTACGTTACCATCATAAATTATAATAGTAATCTAATGAATGTGCGGAAAAAAGTGTACTGATCCTTGTTTATGTAAGCTAAAAAAAAAAAAAAAAAAACATTCTCTCTTAGAACAATATGGTCCGCGATTGATCGAAACATGTCTATTTGGCCCTTGACGTCAATAAATGCCGAGAAACACTGCGTTAAATACAATTTTTTTTTTCTCCTTGACGGTATGCGAGGTGTATATTATTATTATCGAACTACAGTTAACTATTTTTATCATCGTGCGTCAACGGTGCAACGATAATAATAATGACCTATATTTATTTTTTTAATTGAAAAAAAAATAATATATACATAATGTATGTGTGTATTGTGTGTAATATATTTAGTTCAATTGATAATTTCAATAGTCATGTACGTGTATAACGAGTTCATTTGAAAAACAAAAAAAAAAATACACATTAAAATTTATAAGGGCATGTTTTTTCCGTATCCCGAACGCCGTATAATATTTTGATTATTTTACATCAATCCGACATACATGTGCCATGCCCGTCACGAGGCTACACGAAATCATTTTTTAACGAGCGCGTAAATAACAATATTACAATCGCTTCGCGTGATTTCATTCGGCGTGTCTGCTTCTGATTATACTCACAACAGTAATAAAAAGAAGGAATATATTATTGCCGTTATAGATATTAATAATATTCGACAAACACGCGCTTTTACTATGAACATTTATTTTAAACTACCTATGTGTGTATTATATAAATATTTGTATGTATTTTTTACATGCCATGTTGACCGGGACAAATAATTGTTTATACGTGCTGTTTGCAAAATTATAGCCAATAAAATACACATTCAAATTAAACACATAGCATTGTTATTATTTTTTTTACTATAATTTATGTATTTAAATCGTTTTTATTTTAAATATATTTAGAAAATAAGATCCGTTTTTGAGGCGAGGCTTTAAGAATTACTTTGATCTCAATAGCATGTACTTCTCTGCGGAGAGCTAACACTATTTATTATGAGACGGTACTATAAATCTCATAAGAAGAAATGTCACCGTATTCATTATATTACTCATAACTTCAGTCATTGAGTTCCTTAAGTTTTTGATAATAAATATAAAATCAACCGGCCATAAAATCACATAATGATAACCTACGGTTATTGATTATATACATATAATCAATATTACCACCATGGAATTGATAACATTTTATCCACTCTGTATTACCATTTACTTGTTGTTAATTATTATACATTACGTATATTATTTTAAATGATTGAACGGTATCCTTATTACAAAATAATGCTTGCATTAATTAATTTAACATATAACGACCTTTATTTAATATTATTTCAATTAATATTATTAATCATTAACGTATACAGGGGATGGGTGAGAGGGTTGCAAATCCCATCCCCCCTGAAATTTAAGAAAAGCTTAAATTATGTATCTTGTCTGTACACGTTGTCGGTTACCTGAATTCAAATATAGTGGTAAGTGACTATTGTTCAATTATCTATAGGTACGAAATGTCAATAGTACCTGATAACGAAGTATATTATAATGCTAGGTAATAGCTTAAACAAAAAAGCATTTCTATAGGTCAGGATATAGATCACACGGTTTAAGATAACAACTATTCTAAAATTCTAAAATAAAAAAAAATTATATACATAACCATGGGGTACAACTACGTACGTTATTCACGGATGGTAGTACTGCAGTACATATACCAGTTATTTGCTATTTGTTATGAGTTGGAAAAATACAATTTTTTTTATAGTAATAATTACTCTATGGTAAAATATTTTGTAAAAGTTTATTACGTTTTGTCGATTTGTTTGTTAGTTAATATTATAATCAAACTATAATTTAATTTAATTCCCTTAGAGAAAACAAAAGCATCTCCTCCAATTTTTTTTGTAAATAATAAAATGTTCCGATTAATACCGCATTGGATGAAGAAGATATACCGAATGATGTAATAGCATTTGGAAATACTTAAACGGAAATGCTTCAATACAGTTACAGTAAGATCATACTTTTACAGAAATTGGTACCTATATGAAGTTGACAAACAAAATTTTAAATTTAGGTAAATCAAATTTTTCTGTAAAAGATCGTGGTGATTTTCGAAAAATATAATATAATATAAATAATAAGAAATAATAATTTAAATTGTATTATAAAACTAATTTAAATTTGAAATATTAATATAATAACTTTCAAAGTTAAATAAACGTGAACAAGGTTTTATGATGGTGCTGTAATTATGTCTAGTAATTTGTGTGGCGTTCGAAAAATAGTAAAAGAGATACTTGAAAGCTTTACACTCACTGTGTTTCTCATTCCCTAAATCATTGTTTATCTGACGCTGCCAAAACACAAGTTATTCATAATTCGTTTAGTGTTATTTTTGATTGTTGTGCTTATTTCCATTCCTCAGCAAAGAGAACGATAATTAAAAAAAAATAAGATTAATGAAATTCTACCTCATACTCAATCTATTAAATTAAAGTTTTTATGCGAAACCCGGTGGGTATTACGTCATAAGGTTATAGTACTGTTCAAAAGAATTCCTAAAACCTATTTTCGCTACTCTACTACTTTAGTACAATTAGAATGTGGTTCTTGAAACAGAATAATTACTGTAGCTTAATAAATAGTATTTGTATTATGAACATTTCAATTTGCTTCTGCGTAGCATGTACATTTTTAAGTTATACTTATCATTTGTCAGAATACTTGCTAAATACAAATATCCACATCTGGATAGGGTGAATCGGGTAACAATTCAACTTCAAATTATAAGAAACAATACAACTGATACATTAATTGAGATTAATAAAAAGGTTAAATGTTTAGCTAGTTCATTAAATACGGAAGAAAATATGTCAAGAATTTGTATCACTCAAAGAAATTACCAAAATGTTCGTTTTGAAAATATCCAAGAATTGTATAGAAGAAGAACAGTTTTCGTACCTCACTTAAGTGATAAACTTTCATCATTAAATCAATGTTTTTTATCACATAAATAATTGATAAATTCTCTATAGTATGTTTTACTGAATATTGCTGTAGACAAATCATATTAAAACTTAAAAATAGTAGTTCCATTTTACCAGAATGATTTATCAACGGAATATCAATTATGGTAGTCAAAATGGAACTTGGTTTAATCTAAATTTCAGCCATTTACAGTTATCGAAATACAACAACAATATGATCCAAAAATGTACCCACATATGTATGTGCTTCATAAAATATTATCAATACTTTTAGATTCAACAGCCACTGTAAGGAAACCTTTTTGAACATGTAAAAAAAAATAATTTAAGAAGTGGTACCTCTGAGTCATGATTTATAGGACTTGCTTTGTTAAATATACATAGAGAAGTAAATATTACTGATGATATGGTACAAGATATTTTTTCCAACAATGAAAAAACTAGAAAGTTATAATTAATAATTTTATTTTATAATTATTAATTTAATAATGTTTTAAATTTTGTTTAGATTTTTGTGTGGAGCGAAGAAACTTATAGTTTTACAAAGATGTTTATTATTTATTTATTTATTTTTTTATCTGTGGACAACTTTTTCACTAGTAATCTTACTTATTTAAGTGTAGAATTTTTTCTAAAAAGTAAATCTGACTGTGGAAGTACTTTAAGGAGGTCATTTTTTCCAAGGGTTTTTCCAGTAAATGTGAAACACAGGCAAAAACATGGGAAAACCGGGAAATACGTAGGAAAAACAGGAAAATCGGTAAAATATTAAAAAAAATGTTATTAAAGAAAATATATTATGCCTATTTAATTATTTGACTATCATTTAATTTTTGACAGAGCATCACTTTCAATTGAATTCTGCTCAAAATTGTTTTTTCGGTATCAATGGTTTATTGTTGCTTACAGATAAACATTAAATTCCCATCTGTATCCTACCTTCCCAACTTTCCACCTATA